GAGAATGGAGGGTAACCCAGACTGCAGGATCAGGACTCAAAGATTGGTTTTAAGAAGTGCCAACTTCTGGGGGCCCAGGGCAGAACTGGCAACCTCAAAAGGAGGCGAGAGGAGTTAGAGCTGGGCCAACCATTTACTTGAGTCTGTCCCCAGCAGGAACCACTGCGGAGGTGGGGTACAGGGTTCCCAACACCAGAGTTGTAAGACTCCGAAGCAGTGTCATAGGACAGTCACCGGAATGAACCGGCCAACCAGACAGGAGGAGGCACGGAACCGAGAGGCCATGCTGGCCTGGACAAAATGGGACAGTCTCCTATTCCACAGGAAGCTCCAAATTCAAGGAGTCCAAACAGCCACGCCACATACCTGCTCACAAGAGGTCCCTGAAGGGCTCTGCCTTGCCACCTGCCTCCAGGCGGTGCCTGGGCCTCTGAGCAGCCTGGGCCGCCTCTGCACTCAAGGAGAACAGGCTCTTGCTCAGGAAAAGCACAAGCTTCCATGAAAAAGGCAAGACCCCTGGCTGACCATAGGTCCCCATCTTGCTGTAAGGGAGACGTGTGAGTGGTGAGAGCAGGGGACAGAGGCGCAGGGGAACTGGGTGCTGTTGCGTGGGGGGATCATTAATGGGAGGGCCACCCCAGAGGGGAACAGTAACTGTGAAAGATGACACACACAATATTAAAAAGCAAGCAAACAAACAAACAAAACAGGGCTTCCTTGGTGGCAAGGGGTTAAGCTGTAGCGCTGACACTGCAGTGTGAGTGCCATTGCTGGCCAGGGAGGGACCCCCAGGGCGCCTAAGACCTCACCTGTCTCCCCTCTGCTGCCCCTCAGCAGTGTGTTTCAGCAGATCCACCTGTTCTGCTCCCCACTCTATGTCTGGTGAATCCAATCACCCCCTGTACCTCTGGCCTGCACTCCAGTTCTTGTGTGCATAAATAAAGAAAAGTTAATCTTAAAAAAATAAAAAATAAATCAGGCATTTATTTTAAGACAATAAAGAGATAAGCTGCAAAATGTTCATCAAAAAACAAGGACATACATATACTTTTTGCTGATACATACGTCACATGCTACATACTTCACCCTTTTAAGGCAGAGACTTCACTGGTTTCCAGAACAATCACAGAATTTTTAAACCATCATTACTATCTAATTCTACAAAAGTCCATCACCCCCAAAGAAGTTCTGTCCCCATTAGCCATCACCCCCAGCTCCCTCCTCCACCCCCTGGCGACCACAAATCCTCTCTCTGTCTCTGTGGAAGTGCCTGTTCTGGACATTTCTCAGCAGTGGAATCATTTGTCCCTCTGAAGATCATGTCTTCAAGATCACACTACTGGGCATCATTGTTTTATTTGGTAAACAGTATTCCCCTCTAGGGCTACACTACATGTCTTAATTCATTATCAGTTGAACATTTGGGCTGTCAACTTCTTGGTTGTTATGCTGTTATGGATATCCGTGTGCAAGTTTGTGTGTGTGTTTTCATTTCTCTTGCGCCGACACGAAGGAGAGCAATTGCTGGGTCAGATGAAAACTCCATTTTAACATCTGGAGGAACTACCAGGCTTCTTCACAGCAGCTACCCTATTTTCTCGCCCTCCCCAGTCATGCACGCATGTCCAGCTTCTTGCCATCCTTGCCGACACTTTTTATTGTCCGCTTTTAAAATCTTAGCTGTCCTAGTGCGGGTGTAGCAGTCTCACGGTGGTTTAGACTTGAATTTCTCTGATGACTGATAAGATTGGGCAACTTCTCACAAGCTTCATTTGCCATTTCTATATCTTTTTTGGAGAGTATCTATGCAAACTTTTACCCACTTAAAAAGCTAGCATCTAGCTCTATCATTTGCAATTATTTTCTTCCATCTGGTGAGTTTTCCTTTCACTTTCTTGATGGTGTCTTTGAAACACATAAGTTAAGAAACATTATTTTAAATATCTATTTTTAATTTTTATTAGGAGTAACATAATGCAGGATACAAACTTCAAAATACCAAAGAGAAGTCTCTTGCCCCGAATTCAGCCTATTTCCCCACTTCAGAAGCCTGATTTATGGTGACAATAATTATCTGTTTAAAATCTTACATAACTTTGCAACCTTGCCAACATAACTCTAATTCAAATACCCCCACTTTGCTATGTCTTTGGAAAGTTACTTACTGGGTCTCTGTAAACTTCACCATATACTTGAGGGTTGACAACCCCACCCCCTACTGTCACCCCCCCACCCCAAAAGCTAAAGTTAATATGCAAAGGTAGAACTCAGCAAATGAGAAACAAGGTGTCGTTACTTACCTTGGAGCAAAAGTGTTTTGTGGTAAGTGCCAAGTATTTATCAGTTTTTATATTGTTTTATTGCTGAGATGGAACTGGTCTTGAAATCTTCTGAGAAACCTTTAACTAAGCCTCTTATAGGGGGCTGCCCTGCCAATAAGGTGAAAAGAGTCTCGAGCGTGTGAATTTTTCACCTTTGAAAGTTTGGGTTTCACCTCTGCGCAGGCCTGGGTAGAGGGTCAGGGAGCATGGCCCAAACAGCAACAATATCACATCTATCAGGTGTTCTGGACTTCCCTCCTGTGGTAGGTATTGCATGTCTTATCCTGTTTCCCTCCCACAACCCTAGGCAGTCTCTACCATTATTCTCTCCAAGGGACTCTGGGATCAGAGAGGTTAAGTAACCTGTCCAGGGTTACACAGTAACTCAAGCTTTTAGACTCTACTAGGGTTTTAAACTAGCTCTCCTTGGGCATTTTGGGAGGGGAGGAGAGAAGGTAGGGACTGAGGGTCAGAACAAGTCCAGGGACAGGAGTGGGCACGGAGGTAGGGGTAGGCTGGCTTTCCCAGGCTGGACTCACAACCAGTCCTTCTGGCAGGTTCTATAACCAAAGGAATGCTGGATGCCATATCCTCCTCACTGTCCTTCCTTGGGCCTCAGTTTCCTCTAATGCATGATGGAAATCATAATCCCTGCTTTTCCTCAGGGAAAAGGGTTATGCCAGCCTCACAAGAGTTCCACGATCTTTTAGAGCTATGTTGTCAACTGTGGAGAAATGGTGCAGGATGCCTGAGGCTGAATGGTGATGGGGGGGGGGGGTTGAGTCACCCACCCCTACTCTGGTTAAGTGGGCAGAAATGGGGGAGGGGAGCAGGGAGGTAAGACCATTTAGTGTAAGGCCTGAATTTCAGTTATCTGCAGGAATCCAGGCGCATGGGGAAGCATGCAAATGGTGCTTCTATTTGGTCCTCTAGTGCCAAGGGTGATGGCTGGGTGGTTTAAGGAAGGAAGCACGGTTCTGTCCCAGGCAGGGTCGTTAGAGCAAAGTCCCAGGTTCCACCCTCACCCTGGACCCACTGGCCCCTCCCTCAGTCCTTCCCACTTACTGGGGGGAGCTGGTTTCAGGCTGCAAGTCCTGGGGCTATCACTTCCCTTCTGGGGGTTGCCTGGGTTTCCCCTTGAAGTCAAATTATTATTACAAAAGCCGATTCAACTCGTTTGGGAGTTGAAAGGCACTTTTAATATGTTGTGTGAAAAAAAATATGTTGTGTGAAGAGGCAATAAAGAAGTAAGGGGGAAAGCTTTGAAGTCTCAGAACAGACTGGGTCCCTTTCACCATGGCAGTGGAAGTTTCCTGTCTGTAAGGCAATGGTGGTAATAATGACAATAATAATAAATAATAATAACTCTAATGGGATTAGATGCTAGAATGGAGGTAAACAGGACCAGGACAGTCAGCCCCTCGAAAAGCACTCAAGAAAACGGAGGGAAAGCAGGTGCCAGCCCTCTCCGTTCAAGGGAATGAGGAAGGGGAAACTGAGGCCCAGGCGCACCCCTCACGGGCCACTGATGGCACCAACCCGCCTTCCCCGGGAGCCTACTGTGTGCAACCGGCAGTCCGCTGGGCCGGGTCAGGCTGTTCTCACCGCTTGTCCCCACCTCCCCCTCCCCCGTCCCCCGCCGGACCTCTCCCACGACCGGGGAGGAAGTGGGAGAAATGGACAGGGAAAAAAAGTTGGGCTGAGTCAACCCCTCCCCACTCCCCACCTCCGCCCCTCCCAAGTCACGCAGACCCTGGCTGAAGCGGCCCGCACAAGCCAGGCATCCGGGGTCGGGTCCCCGTCCCGCCCAGCACCCCGCGGTTGGGTGGGGGAACTCGGAAAGCCGGGAAAACAACCGCCCAGCGCGCTCCTCGCCAACCCCTTCCCCCGCTACGCCCCTGGCGCAGCGGGCGGAGGCAACTCCTTTATATAATCGCGGGCGGGCAGGTTGGCTGTTTCATTTAGGGACCCTGGAGCCCAGCGGACCCGAGCCATCACTCGAAAATCCGCCCCCAGGTCCCTTCAACGGCTGGGCAAACTGAGGCCTGCCTGGGGTGGGTCGGCGCCAGGCAGGGTCCCCACCCACCCCCAGCAGCCGGGGCAACTGCGACCCACGCCCGCGTCGGTCCTCGCAGTGCGCACAGCCCTCCCCGCCCCCGCTGCCATCCTGCCACGCCCCAGGCGTCGGGGGCAAAGCACAGGCCCCCCCGCACCCGCCCCTGCGCAGAGGCTGGGGGCCTGTTTATCTGGAGGCCCCCACCCCCTCTCCACCCCGGGGGGCCCGCTCCCCCCGCGCCCCGGGGAGCTCTGGGGCCAGATAAGCTGGCAAGCTGGCACGGCGCCGCGCAGCGGGGCGGAGAGGTCAGAGGAGGGGGGGCGCGCCGGGGGCGGGCTGGACCCCCCCCCTAACTTGACAAAACCTAATAACAGCCCGGTCTCCCTGGCGCAGCGGGCGAAGCCCCACGGGAGGGCAGAGACGTGGCAAGAGGGGACCTGCCGAGCCTGTTCTGGCCTCTGAGGCCGGGTGGGGGGGGCGGGCTGGGCGTGGGGGGGCCGGCGGCTGCGGCACCTTTAAGACAAGGGAGGACCCCTCTTGCCCTCGGAGAAACCAGGAAGGGAGTCGCGAGCATCATACGGGGCTTTGGCTGTACTGTACAGTTACTGTAGGGGCAGTGACGCCGCCACCGCCGGAGCGAGGGAGCGAAGAGGGGAGAGAGAGCGAGAGAGCGAGAGACGCGGACCCCGGAGGCAAGCGGCCGAGGAGCCCAGTCCCAACTCCGGGCCCCGGCCCCGCGCGCCCCGGCCCCGTCCGGCCCCGTGAGGTAAGTCGGAGGCCGGCGCGGCCCCCAGCACCGGGTGCAGGGCGGGGACCGGCCAGGGGCGCTGCGCCCACCCTTGCCCTCTCTGGGAGATCTGGGGAGCAGGGGACGTTTAGCAAGTTTCAGAGGTGGGGGTGGTTGGCAGCTGCCCGGTGGCTGGAGGCACCCTGAATCCCGAGCGCAGGGAGGGGGCGCCGCCCGGGAAGGGGGATTGGGGGCGAAGTGCATGGGCTTGTGTGCCAGTTTCCCCCCGCCCCCCACACCCGGTGCATGGCTTTTTGGGGCTCCCAGGCGCGCGGGGAGCGGGGGAGGGGAAGTGGGGCTGCATTGAGGGTGGGGGGGTAGCCGGCGTGGGGAGATAGGGGGGCGCGTCGCGTGCTAAGTTTGCAGCTGGGTACTGGGGGCGCTCTCGCCCCCGGGGGCCTATTCGGTGCTGCGTGCATACGTTGGAGTTGGCCGGGATTGAGATCCATGGGGGATGGGGGGGAGGGGGCTGAAAAAACAGGGAGGGGGGCTTTGCAAAGGAGGGGGAAGGGGTGGGGTGTCCGAGTGGGCGGGCACGACCGCGAGGGCCTCTGGGCATCGTAGTTTTCCCGCAACTTGCGGCTGGCAGGTGGCTGGATGTTTTGACTACAATTCCCAGGGTGCCCTGCGGCGGCAGCCCGCCGCGGTCCGCGGGTAGGGGCGGTGCGGAGGAGGGGCGGTGAGCGGCGGGCCGCAGAGCCAATGGATATGGGCCGATCGCGCGGCGCGGCGCGG